TTCGAGTCTTCGGGTTTTCGAGTCATTCGTTCATCATGAGACAGCAGCCCCATAAGCTTAACCAATGCAAAAAAAACAAAAAAACAAGTATCTCTGCTTTATGAATGTATTGTTGGCTATTGCTACAAATATCCCCCAGCGACTCAACACTGCTTCTGTGCTCCAGGGACATTAAATTAAGTACACAAAATGACTGAAGTGATGCTCTGCCCCCTTCTGGATAACCGGCTGTCAGGCTTTAGATAACTGGTGCAAAAATACAGTGTTAGTCAACATGAACTTAATTACACACACATCTTCTAACATCCAGCTGTGCAGCTTTGCATACGAGGCCTGATCTTGTACATCCGATTCTTCCGAGAATTAGACTTGAAAGGTTTTGGATTGTGGTTGTGTAGATAATCCTGGAGATTAGGAAGGAGGACGATTACCGGATTCCCGTCTGGGTGATTGTCGGGAGCACATTGGGAGGACTACAGCTTCTGGCTCTGCTGATTCTGGCGCTCTGGAAGGTCTGGGACGGTGTTTATTAACAGTTACCAAGCTAATGTGTATCAGTATAGACTTGTATTACTGTAGTGCATTTGTAAAAACACTTAATTTGGGTGTCAAAGAAGGAGATCAAGCCTCATTCTGGTTTAATTCAGGTCTGGCTTATACTTCATCTGCATATTAACATGCATGCAGCACAATAAAGAGGTTTAAAATCCAAAAAATGACACGCTTTAGACAATATTCTAATCGTTTATAAGCTAATATGATCATATTTGGCAATGCTGTTATTGGTAACTAATACTAAAACTATTAAACATTGTTTTCTGTCATTGAAATAAAGCTGAAATAAAATAAATATTCCTTATATAAAAATTAGATGAAAAGCTTGGTAACACTTTACAATAAGGTTCCATTAGTTAATGTATTAACTATCTGTTGTTACTGTGTTAATAAAAATACAGTCGTTCATTGTTAGTTCATGTTAATTCACAGTGCATTAATGAATGTTAACAAGCACAACTTTAGATTTTAATACTGCATTAAATGTTGAAATTTACATTAACTAAGATTAATAAATGCTGTGTTCATTCTTAGTTCGTGTTAACTGAAGTAGTTAACTAATGAAACTTATCTAAAGTGTTACCAAAAACTTAAAATGTTGTCTAGTTGAAATACTAAAATTACATAAAAATTATAAAGTTTTTTTTTAAAATTTCAAAATATAGAATTATAATAGAATTACTCAAACGTAAACCAAAATTACAAATGTTGCTTTGGCAAATAACTGAAATAAAATAAGTCAAAGTACTAAAATTACTAAAACTTAAATAAAAATAAATAGAAATACAAAAAAAAGATTAAAGCACATAACAAAATTACTAAAACTGAAATAAAAAAGTACTAAAATTACTAAAACTGAAATAAAAATAGAAATACTAAAAACAAAATGATAAAAGCACGTAACAAAATTACTAAAACTGAAAATATTCAAATAAAATCTAATACAAAATATAAATAAATGCTATAATAGAATAAATAATATTAAAATGGCACAGATGTTTAGCTGCTAGGCTAACAAACGTGCTTTATGTTCGCTTAAATCAACCCTTTTATCCAGAGCCGGGCTTAAATTCTGTCCATATGCTTGCCGCTCTCTTTTACTCTAGATGAAGTAGAGCTAAATTTACATATATTAAATGTACACTTATTTTAGAGTTTGTTTAAGGTCAAATCTCGGGACTCTTCCACTATTTGAGTCAAAACAAGTCACTGTTTCTCTTTCATCTGCAGCTGGGATTCTTCAGCAGGCAAAAGAGAGAGCGGGACGAGCAGGCGACCAATGAGAAGACAGCAGAGGATCGGTAATGCCACGGCGACCTCCTCAACCAATCACTCAGGGACTCTCCAGACGCAGGTGTCTGTCAGCCAATCAGCTGCTCTTGAGCACTGCCACGCCATCCTGCTGTCCGATGCACAACCAATCAGCTCGCTTCCCCAATTAAGACAGAAGATGTGAAGTTTAGGAGAAAGAAATGTCACCTAGTGTGAGACTTTGCAAAGAGGTGGAAAGCCGTAATCAATGGAAGAAAAAACACTCATGAAGAGGCTTCGGTTTGAACCGTTTTGGCACTGATTAAATGTTTGTGTATCACGAAACAAACCTCAGATTGTGGAACAGAATCGTAAGACTTTATTTTGCTGCAGCGTAAATTCAAGCCGATGCACTTGCACAGTTGTGAACTCGAGATGTGTAAATATTAAAGAAGTTCAGCAATATAAATGTAAAACAATGATCAAATATTTAGCCATAACTTTATTATGCACCTTAATGCATTTTGTTGAAACATCTGTTCAGGATTCATGCATGTGAGTCATGCATTTGGATCATTAGTTTACATCGAGTACAAATTTCATTGCAGCTGGCATCTGAAAATGTCTGTTTCTGTGTTTTTCATCATTAGAAACTGGTAAAAGAGCTTAAGGGAAGTTGAAATAATAACATGCAGAAACATGCACATTTTACATTTTTTTACCTATTTGCATTTTTTATTTCATTTGAGTGTAAATTTACTATCATGATACAAAACAGTTTCTAAAAATTTAGTTTTTTATGCAGTTCATTTAAATTACTTCACTTAGTTTCTATAGTGTGATATATATACAGTGGGTACGGAAATTAAGGCCAAAAAGTTCTCATCAGACCAGAGAATCTTATTTCTCAAGTTAAATGCATTACATTGAGGAATGCATTATCCTGTGCAGTGTGTACATTTTGATGAATGTAGTTGGTCATGCAATGCAATGTAAAGAAACAAGCAGCATACTGTGCACAGTAAACATACTACATACTGCAGCAACAATGAGCAAGTAGTTTGATGCTTCTGTTCTGAACATAGTCACTCAATCACAAATGTTTTCTGACATGGCTTCACAGTTTAAGACTCTATTATGATTCTACGGTCACTCGTTTCAGTCGTTGTCATTTATATCGCCATGTATTGCATGTAAAGATGACAGCTGAATGTTCGTCATGTGTTTTTTATTTTGATTGATCCACTGAATAAATTAAAATCACCTTGATTTAAAAGAGTAAATCTTTGTTTTGGATTCAGACCAGAACACATGTTTTATACACAAATATAAAGCTCATCACTTTAATATTATTCTAATAAACATTCAGAAAAAATAATAAATATGTGTGTTTGATGCATAAAAACCCTTCTTAAAGGAATAGTTCACCCAAAAATGAAACTTTGCTGAAAATGTGCTCACCCTCAGATCATCCGAGATTAGGGTGAGTTTGTTTCTTCATCAGATTTGGAGAAATGTAGCATTGTGTCACTCGCTCACCAATGGATGTGAATGGGTGCCGTCAGAACGAGAGTCCAAACAGCTGATACAAACATCACAATAATCCACAGCACTCCAGTCCATCAGTTAACATCTGGAAAAATGAAAAGCTACGTGTTTGTAAAAAAAAAACAAATACATCAAGACATTTTCCATGCATAATAACGCTTCCTCCAGTGAAAAAGTGGTCTGGTCTGAATCAGGAGAGAAATCTGCACAGATCAAGCACCGTTTACAAGCCAGAACAGCTCTAAACAAATTAGTGGCTGGATTTTGATCTGAGAGACAACAGCCGATGCACTTTTTCACTGGAGGAAGAGTTATTATGGATGGAAAATGTCTTGATGTATTTGTTTTTTTTTTACAAACACGTAGCTTTTCATTTTTCCAGATGTTAACTCCTGGACTGGACTGGTGTGGTGTCTCGTTCTGACGGCACCCATTCACATCCACTGGTGAGCAAGTGATGCTCTGCAACATTTCTCCAAATCTGATGAAGAAACAAACTTGTCTACATCTTGGATGGCTTGAGGGTGAGCACATTTTCAGCGAATTAAAATTTTTGGGTGAACTACTTCTTTAAAAATCGCAGTTCAAATGCAACAGAAGCACTCAAGAGTCTGACAGGCGTCTTTGATCAATGTTTTTAATCTTGTTTGATTTGTTTTGGAAATAAAAACATGTTGAGCAATCTCTAATCTAATCATTAAAGAATAAAACATGGTGCAAATACAGAGGGTTAAAAACCTCCACATTCAGATTCGGTCACATTCAAGCAGACATGTAACGGATAGCGATTTAAAACCGAAATAGACTGTGCCATATGAAATAAATAAATAATAAAAAAATATATATATTATTATTATTTGATGAAAAAGAAACCCTAATCTCTCTCACACACACTCTCTCTCTCACACACACACACACACACTCGGTCACACACACACACTCACACACTCTCTCTCTCACACACACTCTCTCTCTCACACACACACACACTCGGTCACACACACACACTCTCTCTCTCACACACACACACACACACTCGGTCACACACACACACTCTCTCTCTCACACACACACACACACACTCACACGGAGCTGAAAGCAGGAAGACGTGCTGCTCACACACTCACACAACAGCACCATCCAGAATAAGGCCCCGTGACTCAAAAAGAGCTCCAGCACATGTTCATTAACGCAAGTCAGAATTACAGACTCACTAACTGGCTTTACAGTGGCGTTATGGTTAAAAAACAAACAAACATAATTATAAATGTCCAACTTCTGGTTACAGGCACATTTTAATATTCAAATAAAAGAAATCACCTGGCACAGAGTTTAGCTTTAGGACATCAACATTCGACTATTGACTCCTTATAAAATAGACATTTTTAACTCTGTTTTTAAATAAACCTTTTATAAAATATGTTAAGAAAACAAAAACATTGACAAAAGAGCAGCTTATTAAAAAGAACTGTTCACATTGTCACGACTAAAGTTCAACACACAATTAAATGCTGTTTGTCAAAAGAAAAGCATCAGTTTTCAAAATAAGAGTCTTTTGTGCTGCATCAGCATTAACATCCTCTTTGATTTGTTAAAAAAAAAAAAGAGCCAGGATGAAACTGGAAACTCCAGATCCTTTGGGATAAAATGCAGCAGTCGGATCTCCCAAATGGATTAACAGATAAATGAAGAACATATTATGAGGTCAAATTAGAAGTCCTCAGCACCGTTTCACAGGTTAAAACAAACTCAAAACCCAGATCTGACGAAAAAACAAAAACACAGGTCAGTGAAATTCAACAAACTCCTCCAGGCTTTTGGGAATCTGATCCCGATACAAGATCCGATGTTGTTGCACGGCACGAGCTGCCAGGCATTTCAGGCTCATCTTCATCTGCGTCTTCAGAAGGATTTCAGAAACGCCTGTTGTGCTCTTATCAAGCGGGGTCTTCTTTTGCTTGTTGGTCATGTCCGTATGCGCGCCGGCTTCCACGAGGCTGATGATGATGGCGTGGAGGGTCAAGAAGTCGCTGATGGGACGGTTGTACTGTACGATGAGGTGTAAAGGGCTGTTTCCTTCATGATCCACGGCGTTTACCTGGGCGCCGCAGTCGATGAGCAGCTTGGTCACTTGCGCGTTAGGAAAGCTGCACACGTCGTTGGTGTGGAAGTCATCTACTGGCGTACTAGAGCTAGCCGCTAGGTGCAAAAGCGACGACCCCTCTCGGGATCGCGGATCAAGGCGTATTAAGTCGTAGATCTGTTTGTTTATACGCGCTCGCTCCTCTTCGCCGCACTGCGTTTTCGAAGAGATGCAAACCAGGTAGAGGAAAGTGAACACGTTGGATTCGTAGCTGTCGTTGGCCGCCGGCAACTCCGCATCGGTGGCGGATCGCATGCGCGGCAAGCTGCGGCGGATTTCCAGGACGCTGGCGCGCAAAACGTGTTCGACGTCCGATGCGCGGACTGGCTCCTTTAGATGGACCATTTGCGAGAACACCTGCGCAAATCTCAAGAGGTCTTTATGCGTGTTGCGGTTTCCTTGTTGGCGTAGATGCAAGGCGTGCAGCCAGAGTTTGATGCACTGTTCGAACTCCATGTTGTCGGCGTAGACCGCGCCGCGATATATTATGGGATGTGACACGTCGATGTTATCCGCACCCAGAATTCGCTCGCGAATCATCAGGCCTTCCATGTGTAGTGCATCCCGGTCGTGTCGAACGCCCTCTAAGTCTTGCAAAGTCCGGCACTCTGCCCTCGCTCCGTAAGCCACAACAGGAGACGGCAACTCTTTGGCGATGACCCTCTCTGGATCACGAAATCGCTCCAGCATGGCGAGGTACAAGTAGTGGTAGGTCTTAAGAATGTCGTAATTCTCACGGTCATTGGCGAAAGATGCCCCAAGTAGTTCCAACGCTTCGATACGGCTATGCACGTCGCAATCCGCATGCGACAGCAGCAGCTCTACGACGTCCGCCTTGCAGCTCTCGGCTGCCACTTTCAGTGGCGTCATGCCATGTCCGTTAACCACCATCGCCGCTTGGCATCGCACCAACTCCTTCACGATATCCAGATGCCCGGCTTCTGCGGCGAAGTGCAGCGCGGTGGCCCCACAGTGAGCTTTGGAGTTGGGATCCGCGCCCCGCTCCAGCAAGTAGTAAACAACGTCGGTGTGGCCCTTGTAGGCAGCGATCATCAAACAAGTGTTGTCGTACTTATTAGCGATGCTGATGTCGGCCTTGTGCTCCACGAGATACCGTACGATGTCCAGCCGGCCATCGAAGCAGGCAGCCCTGAGGGGGGTGGAGTTTGTGAGGGTGGTGTGATTCACGTTAGCACTGTGCGAAACTAGCAAACGTACCACCTCGAAATGCCCAGCACCAGATGCACACCAAAGAGCCGTGGCGCCATCAATAATATACCTGTAAGAGTGAAACACACGTCAGTAGGGCTGGCAAAATGGCTGAAAAACTACATTAGAATTTTTTTTACCTAAAAATGATCAATTCTAATTATATTCGAATTTAAAATGTATAATTTCAGTTAGGGTGAAAAAAAGCTTTTGGCTGGCTTCTATCCTGAGGCCACAAGAGGGCGCATCGAGCAAAATATTACTAATGCACGTTTCTTCAAAGCATAAGATAACATGACTATCTGTGAAAAAAGTGCATAATGTTTAAAATAATGTTAATAAACCAATTATAATTAAGTTGCTTAAACAACTATAAACAAAACAGCATCATGTATGCATGCATAGTTTAAAACAAAGGGCGGAAAGTACATTTTTCATTTAAAAACACGCGTTGCAGTGGGATGGGGAAAAAAAGTACCATAATGTCTCGAGATATGTTTTTTCAAAGTTGCACTTACATTCATTTTACATCGCTTTCTAAACATGTGGCTCTTTTGTGCGAGACGCGAGTGCAACGGTGATAGATGTCCCTCTAGAAAATGCTCTAAATATGCATTCTGTGTGAACGGCTTGGTTTTAGTTTTGACGTAAACAAGATCTCCTCCGCATTGATGCTCTCTTTTTCCGCGGTATTTGTAATTAACAACGCAGCAGCGCCGCATCTAGTGGCTTCAACTGGATAGGCTGACAAAAAACATTCAAATGCAACGACACTTACATCGTCATCACATCTCGTGCGCCGCTGATAATACTGCCTGATGCACACCTAAAATGTTTTTG